ACCAACTCAGATCCAAGAGCCAAAAACTATACAAGAACATCAACACCCGACCCTGCAGCTCTATAAACGCCAAAAGTGGCTCAATAAGGCTGAGGCCCTAAACCCTAAACCCTAGACCCTAGACCCTAAACCCTAAACCCTAAACCCTAAACCCTCACAACGGAGGGGAGGAGATCCGAGCGCATCTCAGCCAGGTAGGTCTCTACTACCCTGAACCCTGAGGAGACACCCGAAGGTCGAGCCTGTCTCCCCCAAAATGCAAAAAGAGTTTAGGGTTTAGGGTTTAGGGATTAAGGTTTAGGGTTGATTAGGGTTTGAAAGGGTTTAGGGTTTTTTTTCGGGTTTAGGGTTTGGGGTTTGGAGGGGGGGGGAGGGGCTTATAGGTTCGAGCCTTTTTTGAGGTGTAGGGGATGGCGAAGCCCGATCTGGCAACATTTGTGAGCTCCATGGACCTGACTCTCTGCTTCTACTTCGTTAAGTTACCTTACACGCGGACGTCGGAGGGGCACCTCGGGATCGTTCCACGAGGCTCGGTTTTCCAGGTGGGTTTAGGTTTAGGGTTTTGAGGGCTAAACCCTAAACCCTAAACCCGAAACCCTAAACCCGTAAGGGCTTGGGGAGCAACGCGTCCAGGGTTTAGTGTTGAGGGTAAGTTTCGAGTTTCCGTGTCATGGCCCCAAGCCGAGTTCGGCCCTAAGCGCCATCGCCCCTCCGATCTCCACCGGAGTCGAGTTAAAAACCGGCGACCTTTGGCAAGACCTGGGATGGATGGGTGCCAGAGCCCAAGATGCTACTAAGCATCGCTCTATCTCTCTCTCTCTCTCTGTCTGTCTCTGTCCGTCTCTGTCTGTCTCTGTCTATACTATGTATTATGTACTATGTTGTGTTGTATTTGAGATAGTGTGTACTGTATACTATTTCACATTATATATATATATATATATAAATGTATACATATATATATATAAATGTATACATATATCTATATCTATATGTATATGTATATGTATATGTATATGTATAGCGAGCCTGTGGTCCCTTGCATATTAGATTGAAACATGATATGATAACAAACATACCTTTGCATAAACAAAAGTATGCCTATGCAAGCATGCGCGCACGCGCAAACAGTATCTACTCCGTTCTTATAAAGAACATACCATGATGATCCATGCTGGGAAGAGGGGGGGGGGGGGCGGCGATTGTGAGGCATACCCCTGACCCTGCCACATGAGCTGGCCCCTCCTTCCGCTCGCTTGTCTCTTTTGCCCCCGGCACTTTCGGTAGCTCAGAAGATTCCACAGCTCAGCTGATCTGGAAGCTTAGCCTCGTAAGGCACAGGTTCGGAGTTTCGCCAGGGTTGTGGGTACTAGGATGTAGGGTTCAAGGAATATGGGACAAGTTCGGCACTACATGGCACGTGGCTTGGGTAGACTCCTCTAAAGAAATTAAAGAACTCAAGGGGACCTGTGTAACTTTGAAAACGGCTGAGCCAAAGACTGCTGGTCTGGGGGGTGAGAGTCGGGTGCAGAAGAGCCCGGTGGTAGCAAAGGGCTCGCAGGGCGATACTCATGATGCTGAGCCTGGGGAGGGTTTAGGGCCTTTAGGGTTTTGGGTTGAGGATTTAGGGTTTAGGGTTTCGGTTTAGGGTTTAGGGTTTAGGGTTTAGGGTTTAGGGTTTAGGGTTTAGGGTTTAGGATTTAGGGTTTAGGGTTTTGGGTTTAGGGCTTCTGGGATGTCTCATGACGCTCAGTCTGGCGAGCTTGGGGCTGGTCTGATGTGAGAGGATCCACAGCCGATGCTCCGGAAGCTCGGTCTCCAGCTGGGCGGGCGCAAAAGGGTCCACCAAGCGATGCTCGTGATGTGATAGGGTGTAGGGTTTAGGGTTTAGGGTTGAGGGTTTAGGGTTTAGGGTGTAGGGTTTACGGTTTAGGGTTTAGGGTTTAGGGGTTAGGGGTTAGGGTTTAGCCACAACTGATGCTCAGGATGCTCCTTCTGGCGGCAGGACTCCTGCAAAGCGTCCACCGTGATGTGCACGATGTTTGGAGACTGCTTTGGTGCCGAAGGGCTCGCAGGAAATGCCCCATGACACTCTCTCACGCCTTGCTCCCATAGCTGATGCTCAAAATGGTCCCCTTGGAGCGGTTTAGGGTTTAAGGTTTAGGGCTTAGGGTTTAGGGTTTAGGGTTTGGAGGCTTTGCGCAAAAGGGCCCGCAGGTGATGCTCACAGCGCTCGGTTGGGGGGGGTCGCAGGTGACCCTTGGCCTGACCCGAAACCTAGATTTGCAACAATGAAGCGAGTAGACCCTAAACCCTAAACCCTAAACCCTAAACTCTAAACCCTAAACCCTAAACCCTAAACCCTGAACCCTTACAAACCGCAATCGGGTGCCTGCCCTAAACCACCTTTTGGCCTGCAGTGACTCTGCCAAGAAGAACCCCAGGACCGAAGCCACCCAAAAACTCAAGACCCTTTTTGCATCCGGGCTCATGTGGGTTTAGGGTTTAGGAATTAAGGTTTGGGTATACGGTTTAGGGTTTAGGCTGACTAAACTCAAAACCCGAAACCGTAAAACATGCAAAGCCAGTCGGGCAAGCGGCAGTCCCCGTCACTGTCGCTGCCATTCGAATCCTGCACTCCGTAGCGCCCGACTCTCATTCTTCCCGGACAGCCCCTTTTTGCTTTACAATCATATTCCGAACTCCTACAGAACCACGACTTTCCCTTCAGGTAGATACCAGGCATATACTTGAGTTCAGTATGCTTTCTATTCCTCATTTAGGGGGTACTGGTGCTCTCAGGGCCGGGGGCTTTGTAACTGCACTTTATGCCTCGGCAGCGCTTGGTTTGTGTTACAATGAGACAACAGCAAAGACAAACATCGCTTTCTGTCACAAGAAAGGCTTCAGGGTAACCCAACTCTCACGAAGGTTTTCAGTGACCCAGGGAAGGAAGTACATACTTATTTGGACCTACTTACCTAACCCGGAGCCCCCAAAAAGTAAACAAGCATACTGCTGAACAGCCTAGCTCAATTAAGGGTACCACTTGACTTGGTAGCCCAGTAACCATATATTATCAAAAGGGCACCCTTTTTTGGGGTTTGTTGTTTTGTAAGGGAACCCAGAACAAAAAAAAACGTTCAGGGTTCCACTGGGCTACCAAGTGGAGGTCCCTAAACCCTAAACCCTAAACCCTAAACCCTAAACCCTAAACCCTAAACCCTAAACCCTAAACCCTAAACCCTAAACCCTAAAGTATGGTTGGTTGTCGCAACCTTGGAGTTCAAGCTTAATCATGGACATTGTAGCAGGTCCAATCTCTTGCTTTCCCCATCTACTAATAGGGGCCGAAATCATTAGAACAGGGGCTTGGGGGTGACTATCGTATGAGTATAAAGGAAACATAAGGGAATAAATGCTATTCGTAATTATTCCGACCCCCTATAGTACACCCTAAACCCTAAACCCTAAACTTTGCCCTAAACCCCTATGTCCCCCGCAAAATACAAGCACAACCCGCACCCTCGCGAGGACGTTCTGCATCTCGACGGAGTCTTCGGAACTTTCAGAAGAGTCATCCTCGCAGGGACACCACTGACTTGTCTAAACCCTAAACCCTAAACCCTAAACCCTAAACCCTAAACCCTATACCCTAAACCCTAAATGCACGTACACATCCCCTTTTTAAGCTTGGCAAGGAGGCAAGCCGAAGCTCGCGCAAGAGTACCCCCCAACATGCCCGCGCTCACAACTCCGAGCTCCAGGGGGTTTAGGGTTTAGGGTTTAGGGTTTAGGGTCTAGGGTTTAGGGTTTAGGGAAAGGAGGGACTCTTAGGGAGCCTTAAGCCTTATAAGGGACCTTAGGAGTTCTTTAGGGATTCTTCAGGGGCTGCTTAGGTATATAGGGGGCCAAATATGAGATATATGGGGTTATTATCGGGGAATAAGATTAAGGGTCCCTTCTAGGGGTCCCTCCTTATACCCTTTAACGCGCACGCACGGCTTGATGCTACGATTGCTGCTATACCACTTCAAGGGGTCGTCAAAACAAGGGTAATTCTATGGTTCTGACCCAATTATTCACACGAATCATCAAGCTCTGTGTGCAGTAGCAATCGCAACCACACCTCTAAACCCCACGCCCTACCTCAAAGATCTTAACCCTAAGCTCTAGCCCCCAAAGAAAACTCAAAAAAAAAGCCACCATAAACCCAAAACACCCTAAATCCTAAACCCTAAATCCTAAACCCGAAGTTAAAACCCTATAAGGCCTCCATCCAGCCCCATCGAACCAGCAAGTTGTTCAAAGGCGAGCCCTGGGTGGAGCTCGAGAGCCTGTGCATGAAGAGCAACTAAACGTTTAGGGTTTAGGGTTTAGGGTTTAGGGGTCTAGGGTTTAGGGGTTTAGGGGTTAGGGGTTTAGGGGTTTAGGGGTTATGGTTTCAGGGTTTATAGGGGATCCGAAGTTGAAGTATGGTCTTTATTTTGGGTCCCCCGTTATATACCCCTTGTATACACTATTACAAGGGCCCTAGACTTCGGATCCCTGCAATGGCAAATCCCCTTAAGCAAGGGTAAGGGACCATGCGCATAGGGTTTAGGGTTTAGGGTTTAGGGTTTAGGGTTTTTTTTTTGCCACAAGCCTAGCAGACACTCAGGTTTAGGGTTTAGGGTTTAGGGTCTATCGGGTTTATCGGGTTCATCGGGTTTAGTTCAGGGTGTTGGGGGTCAGGGTTCTGGGAGAAGCACCGACGTACCTGCGTGGTGTTGTGAACTGGCGTCCCCTCATGTGCCCTGAGAGGTGCCTCAACCCAAGACTTTCAATCCTAAACCCTAAACCCTAAACCCTAAACCCTAAATCCTAAACCCTAAACCCCAAACCCCAAACCGGATACTGCTTCAACAAGAAAAGAGACGAAAGGGACCCTAACCGATAATAAGTGGGGCAACGCAGTACGCAACCTTCGCAAACGTTGGCATTACGGGTTTAGTTCGGGTTTAGGCTTTGCTCTTCCGGGCCTCCGGCCTGGATCAAGACCCCGCCCCCACCCACCCCAACGTCCGAGGCCCTAAGACTTCAAAACCCCAAAACCCAAAACCGTAAACGTCAGCCCTAAACCCTAAACCCGAAACCCTAAACCCTAAACCCTAAACCCTCAAAGCAGGGACTCAAAAGGCCCAGGCACCCAGGGACGGCGTCTTTCTGCCCGATGTTCGGGATGAGCTGATACACCCTGGGTTTAGGGTTTAGGGCTAGGGTTTAGGGTTTAGGGTTTAGGGTCTAGGGTCTAGGGTTTAGGGCGATTAGGGATTTGGGTTTAGGCCGATTAGGGTTTAGGGTTCCGGGTATTGAGGTTTACTAGGGTTGAGGGTTTAGGGCTCTTAGTATTAGGGTTTGGGGGAACGAAGGTTCGTGGGTTGTTGCCCTAAACCCTTCTGCGTGGCTCAGGTTTTGGAGTCGTCTCTTCTCTTCTAGGCTAAACCCTAAACCCTAAACCCGAAACCCTAAACCCGAAAGTCGTCTCTTCTCTTCTAGGCTAAACCCTAAACCCTAAACCCGAAACCCTAAACCCGAAACCCTAAACCCCGAAACCCTAAACCCCTAAACCCTAAACCCCTAAACCCTAAACCCTAAACCCTAAACCCTAAACCCTAAACCCTAAACCCTAAACCCTAAACCCTAAACCCTAAACCCTAAACCCTAACCCTAAACCCTAAAACCCTAAACCCTAAGCCGACTTGCCACAGGAGGGCGTTTGTTTTTTTGCAGCAAGGGCTTACGAAGAGTCACGCCGTGGTCAGCGGCTTCTGGCGTTCCAAGGCAGCAAACACATCACATTGCACTCTAGGGCTATCCCGAGGCCTAAACCCTAAACCCTAAACCCTAAACCCTAAACCCTAAACCCTAAACCCTAAACCCCAAACCCTAACTGGCTGTTGTGGGGCTTCGAGAAATCGGGGCTAGGGGAAGTTTTTCTTCGACCAGGCGACAGAATCAAGGGAATCACCGGGCCGATCGAAGAGACCTCGGTGAGAAGGAGGAGGCTGCTTTGCTTTAGGGTTTAGGGTTTAGGGTTTAGGGTTTAGGGTTTAGGGTTTAGGGTTTAGGGTTTAGGGTTTAGGGTTTAGGGTTTAGGGTTTAGGGTTTAGGGTTTAGGGTTTAGGGTTTAGGGTTTAGGGTTTAGGGTTTAGGGTTTAGGGTTTAGGGATTCTTTGCAGACATCCGGCTACCGAAGCCAGCCAGAGGTTGTCGAACTCTGCCGACTCATTCGGCTCACCGGTCGGTTTCACACCTGCCAAACTTCACACACCAACTCTTAGTTGCTGAGTTCATAAGCCCTAAACCCTAAACCCTAAACCCTAAACTTTAAACCCTAAACCCTAAACCCTAAACCCTAAACCCTAAACCCTAAACCCTAAACCCTAAACCCTAAACCCTAAACCCTAAACCCTGAACCCTGAACCCTAACCCTGCTACCCCCCTGTATACCTTAGTTGCTGAGTTCATGGGCCCCCCCAAAAAAAGGTGTACACTTTCAGTTCTACAGGGGATGAGAGTATCCCAAGAAGTGGAAAGTGTACTCACTCAGCTACTAAGAACTGCGTTTCCGGCTATCTCTGGTCAAGCCATGAGTACGCATGTTCTAAGATGAGGTACGACGGTTTTGGGTTTCGGGTTTAACGACTTTATGAATCATTGTGAGAGTTGCATGCAGGTTCTTGTTTTCCACCGTGCCTCATGCGAGAAGCTGCACAACTCACACCCCTAGACCCTAAACCCTAAACCCCAAACCCTAAACCCTAGACCCTAAACCGCCGAAAGGCAGAAGCCCGCCCGCCTAACATAACGAGGATGTAGGCGCCGAAGTAGGAGCCCAATGAGGAGCCTTTCAAGTGAAGAAAAATGAAACCCCAAACCCTAAACCCTAGCCCTAAACCCTAAACCCTGAACCCTAAACCCTAAACCATAAACCCTTCAAGCGTCCCTCTTGCAGTAAGTTTGGGCAACATCGCGGTGTCTAAGATGTGGCAGCGAAGCTTGGGAGGGCGCTGACTGCGACTCAGGGGTGTCACAAAGGGTGTCGTGTTTATGGTTTAGGGTTTAGGGTTTAGGGTTTAGGGTTTAGAGTTTAGGGGGTTGAGCTCCTTCGGTTGGAGGCTTTAGGGTGTAGTGTTTATAGGGTTTAGGGTGTAGCGTTCAGGGCTTGAGTTGCGCGTCTAGTCCCCTCCTGCGAGTATCAAATGCTGCCCCCCCTTATCGTGCATTTGAAGTGCATGGGGAACATGTAAACCCTGGAGAGGGTAGTGGGCTTCACGTGTAGTCATATGATTTATCTGTATAAGGTGATACTAAGTTACTACGTTCTGTCTACGTTCTGCCATCCTTAACCCCACTATAGCACTATAACAACCCATGAACCCTTCAGGTACAGATTGAGCCCACAGGGTCTTACGACGGCTGCGGACTCAGGATTTTTTCGGCTTTGGGGTATAAGGTTTAGGGTTTAGGGTTTAGGGTTTAGGGCTCAGGGTTTAGGACTTGGAGTGGGCTTCGGGTCTCACCATAAGGTGTAGGGTTGAGGCTCGGAGAAACTGAACTAAACCTTGAAGCCTCTAGAGACAGAAGCGCAGAACTAGTCTCGCTGACTACAGCTGCACTGGCTTGCTGGGATCGGGTATCGGGTTCAGGGCTTAGAGCGTAAGGTCTATAGGGTTAGGTGTGCAGGACATCCCCCCTAAACAAAAACACGCCCTGCAAGGTTCAGAATTGCTGAGCCACCCAGATTACCCATTCCGGCCAGCAGTGCGAACATAGTGGCCTCGGAGCACTGGGGCTTCTGTGTGACATCCCGGAACGACCCCCCAAGACCCTTCACTAAGGAATGGGCCTTAACTACTTGGGAGCCCTTTTGACTCAATACCTATCCTGAGCAAATCCGTGCGCTGTGCCTGGGCTGCTTATTCAATGTTTGATATATGGAAATAAGCACGCTCCTACTTCTGAGGGCGGAGCAAAAGGGCAACCCTAGAAATGCATGGACAGACAAGCCTCACTGAAACCCCAAGTGGACATTGCCAAGGCTGCAGGGTTAGTAAGTTGGGCTATGGAGATTATAGTAGCGTCTCTAAGGGATACTAAGTAGACTTAGAGCTTCCAAGTATCGGTCCTTATTTGCAGGTCTTTTTCCAGAATGCTCGACACTCAGGATCATGAGCACAAGCAAAGGCATGGCAAATCTCGGGCCGTATGAAAGGAAAGAGGCGGAGGGGCGCACTGGGGCTAGAGTCTTTTTTGGGGGATCCATAAGATAAGGGTGACGCTGTATATCCGGGGACACCAACTGGACCCAGACCCCTAAACCCCTAAACCTCTAAACCCCTAAACCCTGATCCGAATCCGAGCTGCTTCACAGCCCTTGGGGCACAGCTGCGAAATGATAAGCATGGTGGGAAGCCAAGCCTTCAGTTGAAGGGCTTAGGGTAAGGGAGGGCTTGAAGGTTCATGGGAGCTTATAAGTGGGCTTAGAAGTAGCTGGATCTGCCCACAATTAAGGTACCTGAAAATATATAGCTGCGCTCTGAAGGGCCCAGGAAGCTTGGCAACTTACCGAGGGTTTAGGGGATTGAGCCTAACCTGTGCTAGAGTGCCAAGGTTTCGAGTCACACTTCGGTGAGGGATGTAGTAGGAATGGCTCAGCCATAAAAGGGGGATCAAGGTCCAACATCGAGGCTGTGGGAGGAGGGGGGGGGGGGGGGGGGGGGGGGGGGGGGGGGGGGGGGGGATGGTGGCATTCGGGGCTTGAGGAGAAAGGAAGGTAGAGAGCAGAGCAAGCATGCTGCAACAGACGCGCGATGTCTGAGTCCCTACTATATATCGTAACTCCACCACTGCCATCCATGCCCGAAACAGATGCTAGCATCCCAGACCTGAATTCACGACCGGCCCGTGCCGGGCATTGCGTTTTCTGGGGGCTTGGTTTTGGAAGAGGGCTGGCTTGCCAATCAGACTTGCGATGCTGTCGAGAGGTTGAAGGCATCCTCTAAGATCAGATGGAAGCAACATGCATGATAGCACCGTCAGTAACTCAGTAGAGGGCAGCACGAGAAGATCTATAAACCCTATAAACCCTAAACCCTAAACCCTAAGCCCTAAACCCTAAACTCAGGCCAAGTGTCGATCTCCATGCACACATTCTGAATCGCATCCGACCCCAGAACGAAGATATGGTCATCGATGCCAAGCCTACAGTTACAGGCGGGTTCAGGGTTTAGGGTTTAGGGTTCATAAGGGCTGAGGGCTATGGGGGTTTAGGGTTCATAAGGGTTTGAGGGCTTCGGAGAGCTACACTCCCGCACCCAAGAATCAGGTTGAAATCCGTACGCTTCGGCGGTGACCCATAAAGCAAACGACGACATGCCTCCTCAACTTGCAGGAAAGCTTGCAACCGGCTCTCGGCAAGCGACTTCAACCCTTCAACCCCAAGCACAGCCATACCCACCTGCTTGCTACACATGAAAATCTACAAACTTCGCCCCGGAACTTCGAATGCCGCACTTAGCTGCTCATCTCACTATGTCACATGGGGAAGCTACACGACAACTTAAACCCTCTTTGGTCATGGGCCTGAAACCCCAAAGGGCAAGACCCTGAAACAATAATAGCAAGGGACTTCAAGTTCCAGCGGGAGAAGACCACGCAGTTGAGCAGGTTGCAGGCCGCTGTGAGGATGTTGCCTACCTGTGCTTAGGGTTTAGGGTTTAGGGCTAGGGTTTAGGGTTTAGGGTTTAGGGTTTAGGGTTTAGGGTTTAGGGTTTAGGGTTTAGGGTTTAGGGTTTAGGGCTAGGGTTTAGGGCTTAGGGTCGCAAACCAGGCTTCGGAGTTGTTGGGGCAGTTGGGGGCTGAGGAGTTTAGGGCTCAGGGACTTCGCATTTGGGGGTTTACGTACCTTATTGGGGTCCTGATTACAAGGGGCTCCTACTATGTGGGTCGATAATATGAGGGGTCCCTTATTATCGTAAGGGCCCAACTTAGGACTTGAGGGTTTACTAATTTCTCACAATCAATCTCCGAATTTGCGGGTTGGCACAACCCTTTTTCCCCCAAGCCCTAAATCCTAAACCCTGAACCGCATCCCGGAACACCTAAGTTGAAAGACCCCACTATGGCCCAGCAGATGCCGCCGGGCGGCCATGAGAATGTGCGGGTAGCTCCAACGCTGCATCCAGCGGTTGTAGATGACCATGCCCACCAAAGAGAAGACCTTGAGTGGGAGAATTCTCCTTTGGAATAATACCCCCCAAACCTCCGAGGGTTTAGAGGGTTTAGGGTTAGGGCTAGGGCTTAGGACCTTAGACCCCAAAACCCTCAAACGCGGAGCAGGACGTCAGGGAGTGTGGACGTTCTGTGGCGAAGGGTGTTGGGGCTGTCGTCAGGTCAGGTCGAGGCGTCAGGACATGCTCGACCTCAACCTCCCACCTCCCCCCCACCCCCCCCAATTCTGAGCTTCTTGTTAAAGATTCAAGTTGTTGGTACCTTGTTTGAGGAAATTTCATCGCAAACCTCTAAGCAGAACAAGCAGCCTGAGACGGGGGGGGGGGGGTGCTTCGATCGGGACTTGAGGCCGTTTAGAGTTTTCGGACCAGGCTTTTGATTTCTTTGGCTAAAAGGTTCGGGGTACTAGAGGCACGTCTTGAATAGAACGATCATTGGGGGAAGCTTCTTCTTGTATATTCTAACTTCTACTAACTATGGAATGTAAAGGGGTGGTGAGGGGATAACGTTTGCAATCATTTAGGCTCCGGTATTCTTTGTCCCTAAACCCTTATTTAAACCCCAGGGACTTTTAAGGTTGAGGGCTTTGGAAGTTTGGATGGCTCAGGGCATGGCGGTGGAGACCATGCCGATCGCACTGGTGTAGAACACCTGGCAAGGAATACTATTAGGGGCCTTAAGAATTAGAATAGGGTTCTGGGGGATTCTTCTAGTATAGTTTAAAGGGACCATAAGGGAATGCTATTAGCAATGATTCCAACCCAATAGTATTTCGGCCTCAGGTTCAGGGTACTCAAGCTCCACAATGGCATCCTACCCCACCCAAATCGCAGTCTGATGCTTGAAGACGTGACTGTTGTCCACGGCCCCAGAGCCCGACATCACAGCAGCGCTATGAAGGGCAGGGAGAGAAGGAAGATGTTGCACATCGAGACAAAGCTCGTGCTGGGGGGGCGGAGGGCTTAAGGTTCACCATGCCACTCAAGCCCACAATGCAAAAACGCTGCAAACAATACACCCAAGAGATTTTCGGTGTAGGGTTTAGCCTCCTTGCAGAAGCTGAGGGTGTAATGTAAAGGGTGCCCTTTCTTCGGCTTCATGAGGTTTAGTCAGGGAACCCCTAACCCTAAACCCTAAACCCTAAACCCTATTCGACCACAATGGGAAAAAAAGGGTAGTGATGGGCTTCCGCTTCTAAGAAAGGATTGGGCCAGCTCAGAGAACCCAGAGGGTCCATTTGCATTACTATTATGGTATTGGGTACCCAAAAACCATACTTATTGGGTACCTAATTCCATAATAGTACTACAAATGGACCCTCTGGGGAAGGTTTGGCGATTGCAGAGCCTCTGGAGTTTTATATTTAGGGTCTCGTGCTCCGTGTTGCTAGATTTGTTAAAAAAACACAGAAACGTGCATGTCCAGGGCGTACTGGTAGAGAGCTTTGGGTGGTAGATTTTGGGACACAAGCAGTCTTTCTGTCAGCCTAAGGCGAGGACGTAGTCTAGGAAGCTATGGACTAAGGGTTTAGGGCTTAGGGAGGGCCCTAAACCCTAAACCCTAAACCCGAACTCCTAAACCCTGAACCTAAACCCTTTTTCTAAACCCTAAACTTCAAACATTAAAAAAAAACACGGAGAAAGAGTGCCGCGCCTTCGAGAGGTGTGGCCCTTCAGGATATTCCTCTGGTCCTCGGGGGCATATGGGGGTTCACGATACTAGGGGTACCTTATTGAGGTCCTTATTGTCAGGGGATCCTACTATTTGGGGATCTATATTGGAGGGTCCCCCCGATTTTCGTAAACCCAATTTTTCTGTTCATGCAAGTGGACACCTTGGAAGCCTGAAGCCTGTGAGGCATTGGGGGGGGGGATGTTCTGGGCATCGTCGCAAACCCTAAACCCTAAACCCTAAACCCTAAACCCTAAACCCTAAACCCTAAACCCTAAACCCTAAACCCTAAACCCCAGACGAGGCTGGACAATCCAAGTTGCCATCGGTGAAGAAATAGAACTGCGCACCTGCATCACTCTTGCTTAAAGGATCAGGGGACTTAGGGTTTTTTCACGGTTAAAAACCATTTAGGGTTTTCTTACGTTCAAAAACCCTAAAAGCGATCAGGGGGTCTTAGTAACTGGGGTTATAAATGAAGTAACTGTACCTATAGTTTTATAACCCCAATTAAGGTACTTATATCCCTACTCGCTAAGTGCCCCAAGCCTCCTAGTGTGGCTACCAGGCTACCATGACATGAAATGTGCAAACATTATGACGAACGCAACCTCTCAAAAGCTGTGCCAATGTGCACGCGGACTGTATGCCATGGTGAATCCGAAAGCCCTGAATTCAGCCCGAAGCAACCTACACAGAACCAGTGTTTTTTCAGAACATTCAAGCCTCCATGCCCTTACCGCTATATACACTGCTTGGTGTGTCTTAGTAAGGAAGTCAGGAATTCGGCCCCCAATTTAATTCTACATAATGCCTTCTGGGGAAATAAGATACCAAATCCCCTAGCTCCCTAGAAGGAACGAGCCCTAAACCCAAACTGCTCCTTAAACAGTTAACCCCCCCATGTGTCTCCCCTCAGAAGAAAGGGACATGGCCGAACTGACAGATCGACAAAGACTCATCGAGAGTTTTCTGGAGTCTCTAGGGTTTTGGTTTGGGATGTTGCCACAAACAGCCCTTCATGGGGATTATAGTACCGCCGATTCTAATCCCCATGAAGGACTGTTAGTATAAGGGGGAATGCTAAGTTTTGGCTTTCAGGTTTAGGGCTGCTAGAGCCTGCTGGAGGCTCTAGGATTTTAGGGTTTTGGCTGAGCTATGGCCTTCTGTCGGTGGGACAGGGACAGAAGATTAGGGTTTAGGGTTTAGGGTTTCGGGTTTAGGGATATTGATTCTTAACAAGGAACAAATCCCAATATACCCCGCTTAGGACCATAATGAGCATCATGTCGTTGTACATCCCTTTTTGGTGCTTAAACATACACAACAACGACACACAGTTCCTAAACAGGGGCTACGGAAATATGGGAGCCCTAAACCCTATAAACCCTAAACCCTAAACCCTAATCTTCTGTCTACAAAATTATGGGCTTCTTTCAGGGACCGTATGGGAAAGCCTTGATTTAACTCCAGGATGAATGTTTGAGATTAATGGTTTCGGCTACTCCCTGGTTCCTGCGAAGAATCAGGGTTTGTGCCCCCCAAACCCTAAACCCTAAACCCTAAACCCTAAACCCTGACCCCCTAACGGGTTTATGGCATTCTGAAAGCCGTAGAGCAGGACCTGCATCTTGCCAAGCTTGACATGGCGATGCCTCCAATGCCGAAGGAGCAGATGTTCTGAATGAAGAAGAATGCATTCCTCAGCCGAAGGTATGCATTTAGGGTTTGTTTGACGTAAAAAAACCCTAAATGAAGAAGACTGCGTTCCACAGCCGAAGGCATGCGAAGCCATAAGCCCCATGTTGAATGAAGTCTAAACCCTAAGCCCTAAGCACTGAAGTCTGAACCCTTCGTTGAACACCACATAGTGAGTTGAGCTGTCAGCTCGACAGCACCAAACAGTTGTCTTGAGCCTGAGTGGGCTCGTTTGTGTGGTTTTTTGCTGCCACCCGCTTCGCTGACACCGTGATTTTTGGTTTGCTTGTTTTGCCACCCGTCTGGGTTTTTGGGCTTAGGGTTCAGGGCTTCGACTCTCACACTCGCACCCCGGTTTAGGGTTTATGGAGTTGGAGGCAGTTTATCTTGCAGATGATACAATTTGCGCGGAACCCTGAACCTGAAACCCTAGACACTATAAACCCTAAAGCCCCTAAACCAGTCCTGTCATAGCATTCCTAGCAGCCAAAGCAGCTTTTTGCGCCGAGAAGCTGCCAGAGGATTTACCCCTAAACCCTAAACCCTAAACCCTAAACCCTAAACCCTAAACCCTAAACCATACAGGTCCCAGAGGCATGCCATGGCCATTCATAGTCACCATCGAGCCTGATGCCCTTCAAAGATCGTTGAGCAGAAGCCTGAACCCTTTGGCTTCCGGGCAACCCTGGAACCCTAAACCCTAAACCCTAAACCCTAAAACCCTAAACCCTAAACCCTAAACCCTAAACCTTAAACCTTAAAACCCGAACCCATAACCCTAAACTCCTAAGCCCTCCGACATCCTGCCGACCAGGCTCATCTTCGCGATGATCGGGGACAGTGCCATGGACACCATCCCTGAGCACGATGTTAGGGGTTTAGGGTTTAGGGTTAAGGGTTTAGGGAAAGGCCCTTCGGACAACTCGCACGGGGCTTTTTGAACTAACCCGCTTGCAGCTGGGAGTAGGGTTTAGGGTTCAGGGTTTGGAGCGAACCCTGTTTTGAACCCTTATAGGCCCTAAACCCTAAGCCCTAAATCCCTAAACCCTAAATCCCTAAACCGTTTGTTCGCCCAGGACTGAGTTCCGGCCTCACAGGCTGCGTGTAGCAGGCAGCTGATGTTGGAACACAACTCCCAAGCTACTCATAAACCCGAAAGCCTTTGAAACTGAAACCCTAACCCCCCCCCCCCCCCCCGAAAGCCCTACGTGTTTCTAGGTTTAAGAATTGTGGTCTCGTTTGAAACTGAATCCCTAAAACCCCCCAGAGCCCTACGTATTTCTAGGGTTGAAGGATTGTCCCTAAATTCCAGAGCCCTACGTGTTTCTAGGGTTTAATATCATCCCTAAACCCTAAACCCCAACCCCGAAACTTGAGGTGTCTCGAGGGAAGGGGTGGGTTCAGGGCTTCGGGCACTTGGCCTTCAAGGTCCAGAAGGGATCCGCAGCTTATAGGGTTTATAGGGTTTTGAAGGGTCTTTCTATGAGGATTCTTTTCGAGGCTTTATCGAGTCGATGGAGGTTTTGTAGGGTTGTAGCGGTTTGAGTGTTTGGTTGTGATTACAGCATTGTCAGCCTCACATTTTGAAATGGGGTGGTAATTGCAATATTCAGTGGGACAGAGGGCCGGGAGGTTTTCGGGCTGATGTGTGTAAACAAACCCATATAGGGGGGTCCGATGAAAACAGCAATTGGGTGGCATTTGTAAAAGTTGGCTGGCCAGAAATCCCCCAGACCGCAGGCTATTTTCACTCCCCCCTCCTTTTTCCACCCTTAAAACCCCGGAAACCAAAACACAATCTGGGTGGGGGGCCTTAATGAGACGTTAACATTAGGGTTGTAGGGTTCATCGGGCTCTCAAAATTTCATTCAGCGGCACATGTTTTGCAAGAGAACCTGCGCTTCGTGGCAAAATAATTCCAAACAGCACATCTAAACCCTAAAGGCGGGCCTTGGAGGCTAGGGTTTAGGGTTTAGGGTTGAGGGTTGAGGGTTTAGGATTTAGGGTTTAGGGTTAGGGTTTAGGGTTTAGGGTTCAGGGTTAGGGTTCCGGGTTCAGGGTTCAGGGTTCAGGGTTAGGGTTCAGGGTTCAGGGTTCAGGGTTCAGGGTTCAGGGCTCAGGGCTCAGGGTTCAGGGTTCAGGGTTCAGGGTTCAGGGTTTAGGGTTTAGGGTTTAGGGTTTAGGGTGTAGGGTTTAGGGTTCTAGGGTTTAGGGCTTACGGTTTAGGGTTCGGGTTTAGGGTTTAGGGTTTAGGGTTTAGGGTTTAGGGTTTAGGGTTTAGGGTTTAGGGTTTAGGGTTTAGGGTTTAGGGTTTAGGTTTTAGGGTTTAGGGTTTAGGGTTTAGGGTTTAGGGTTTAGGGTTTAGGGTTTAGGTTAGGGTTTAGGGTTTAGGGTTTAGGGTTTAGGGTTTAGGGTTTAGGGTTTAGGGTTTAGGGTTTAGGGTTTAGGGTTTAGGGTTTAGGGTTTAGGGTTTAGGGTTTAGGGTTTAGGGTTTAAGGTGTAGGGTTTAGGGTTTTGGGTCTAGGGTTTAGGGTTAGGGTTTAGGATATTGGGATGCGGTGAAGACCCCATCTCGGCCCAGGTGCCCAGGGCAACCACGGCCAAGACTGCGGCTGCAAAGACCTGGCGCTACTGTTGTTTAGGGTGTAAGGTTTAGGGTTTAGGGTTTAGGGTTTAGGCTTGAAGTTTCGGGAGTCTTTGGGGGTATAGGGTTGGGGTTTCGGGGTTTCTAAAGTCTCTGGACATCCCCGAGCGACATTGACAAATTCATTTCCTGCATCTCAGCTCTGAGCCTATCGTTCTCCCCGAAACCCGAAGAACGAAGAACACTAAACCCTAAACCCTAACCCCTAAACCCTAAACCCTAAACCCCGTTTCTGCGCATTTCGGGATCATGGCCCAAGCCTTGGTGTCCAGGCTGCCACCGAAGATGGACAGCAACGCCAGGCCTTGGCTGGAGGTTGGGTTTGCTTGTTGGGCTAAACCCTAAACCCTAAACCCTAACCCTTAACCCTTAACCCTAAACCCTAAACCCTAAACCCTAAACCCTAAACCCTAAACCCTCCACCTATATAGGATTCACAGTAGGCTTTTGCTGTTTTTGGCACCCGTGCTTCTGTTGCCGAAGAAGCACTCCGAGGGCACTGGTATGTCCAAAACGTTGCGTCATGCTCACACACTCACTTCCACTAAGCCCAAAGACTCCAATACCCCTTAACTAAGGCATATTCCTTAAACATAGAAGGAGCCCTCTTGTACTTTAAGGAATATTGGGGTATTGCAGTGTCTGGGAAGCTACAAGCCCAAGAAGCCGCACGAGTCGCAGAGGCTGCTTGTGTAAGGCCCAGTTTAGGGTTTAGGGTTTAGGGTTTAGGGTGTAGGACAAGAAACCCTGCCTCAACAAGAAGGCTCCCACACCCAAGAGTAGTCTCGGAATAACAGGGTAGCCTCTTTCGTGTAAACCGGCTGTAAGGGCGCCTAAACCCCAAGAAAGAAGAGAATAAGGGCCTCCTAGCCCTAAACCCTAAACCCTAAACCCTAAACCCTAAACCCTAAACCCTAAACCCTAAACCCTAAACCCTAAACCCTAAAAGGGGGATACGGGCCCACCCTGGGTCCTATAGGTTCTTAGACTGACCCCCACGTATGGTTTTTTGGG